TTGAAGATAAATCGCTTTGTAATGCAGAAGTGGATTTGATAGTCAAAATTGACTTGAGTGTTGGAGTTGTTGAGCGAACCATTTGGGGACTATGCGTACTTACACTGCTCGTTATGGAAGCCGCCTCACCAGATTCTTCTGATACCGTGGGAGTTGTAGTCTCTCGATACTCAGATGTGCTGGTTTCAGGCAAATCTATGTTGGTTTTCCTGTTTGTGATTGTAATCTTCAAGCGAGTAAAATCCGTAGAGGTTTTGATTTCGGGGAAAGTTACTCCTATTGTGCGATGGAACGATGGCTTGTTTGAGATAAATGGTAGGGCTACATGCTTTGAAGATGTACCGGCAGTGTTTTCTTTGGTGAGCCCAGATAAGGAGTCCGTAGCACTACTTTCAAAGGACATATCCTTCGAAGGAATAATGACTTCTGGAGTGTTAGTCGCGGAAGGCATTGACGCGGTTGTATGATATGATGATGTCTCTGAGCTCTCTGTTGAGATAGATGACGGGGATTTGCTGGTTGTATCCTGTGGTGTACTGGTGTTTTCTTTGATAAACGTCGACAAGAGTTCTGGGCTAGTACTACTGTCAATGACCGTAGCTTTTGAAAGAATGTTAAATTTTGAAGTGTCACTCGCAGAAGGCGTTGCTGCCGTTGTTTGATATGATGATGCCTCTGGCTTCTTTGTTGAGGTCAGTGATGAGGTTTTGGTGGCTGCATCTTCTGAGGAATTTGTTTCACTGCCTTCTTCTGTAACGGACAAAGCAACTTCAGTTCTTTGAGTAATGGTAGTTTCTGAAAACCTGAGTCCTGTTGAGAAGTCTGTTGCAGAGAGTGTTATTGAATTTGGAGAGGAGGAAGATGTAGGACCTTTTAATGTTGAACTTGGAAGCTCGTTTTTCATATTCGACTTTGCAGTGTTGCTTCTTTCGCTTTTTGTAGTCAAAATCTCAGTCTTTGGTCTTTTATCTGCTATGCTAGCCATTGAAGAACTGCGCTGCGTTGCAATTTCAGCTGTAGAGAGGGTTTGTGCAACTGAATGAGAAAACGATGTTGACTCAGAGCTAGGTTTTGAAATCTTGGTAATTAGATCCGCACGCTTTGTATGACTCCTATCTCCAAATTTTGTCGTGGCTGTCTTTGTTTCTTCGTAATTTGAGGTCTCCGTTTCATTCGCATTTGAATCGAAAGATACTTTTTTGCTGCCGGTCACAGAATTGGGAACAGACCCTTCTACCGTCAATGTTGCTTCGGAAGGTGAGTATTCACCTCTGCCTACGTTGGTAACATCCTCCAGAGGATTATGTGACATCGATGTCATTATCAGCGAAGAAAAAGTTCTATTTTCCGCTGTGCTTATGCCTTCGGGGTTCCAATCAGCGACTGGAGAAGCTGATTCAGTGCTTATCTTCTGTGTTTCGTACAATGAGGTGGATGTTACAGTTGTCATACCTTCTAAGTTGTAGGGAGCTGAACCCTTGTTTGAGGTAGCGCTTTCCAGTGAATTTGTACGTGCGTAACTCGTCGACAGTGCAAAATCGCTGCTGCCGGTCGGTGTAGAGTCTACTTTTGAGATCAAAGGCTTGTCAGACTGTTTTGGTAGACTAGAAACTTTTGAAGTTGAAGTTTTTGTGATTTCTCTTGCAGAAGCAGAAGAAGAAGCAAGCGTTTCATGGCAATTTTCATTTGTTGTCAGCGTACTCATCATTGCTGGTATCTGTTCCTCCTCCTCTTCCTCATAATTTTCGTTTGAAGGCTTCGAAGACTTCGCAATAGTGCCACTTGCTTCAATTCTAGAAGTGCTTCCATCTTGTGAAGTAAAGGAGGGAATAGTAATGTCGGCATATGTACTCTCCATCACTGTCGTGATCGCTTCAGTTTTCAATGCCGTATGGACATTCAATGTGCCAAAATTTGTCCGGGACTCCCTTCTTTGCTTAGAATCACCTGCGTCAGTAATTGGGGATTGCGTAACTTTGCTGAACGTCTGACTGTTCAAATTAAAGAAATCTCTGCCTGACCAAATCGTTTCCGTTTTTAGCCTTGTATTGTCGTCAGAAGTCCCAGCAGGCGAAGTGTCCATCGAAACTGTAGGTTTGTATGTAGAACTCATGGTGTTTTCTTCAGTATCCATGTCCGCTTCCTCGCTAGATAGGATGCTCGCGGTCGCTGATATGGAGAATGTGCTTGAAAATCTTTTGCTTGAGGGGTTTAATTTATTTATATTTGTTGTGGTCCTTACACTAGTCGAAATTATTTCCACGCTTTGCGGACGTGAAGAGGAAGTTGCATCAATAAACTGTGTACAGTTAGGGTTTTCTGAGAAGGTTTTGATTGTTGCTGTCATCCTGTCCATGTGGCTGGTCGAAGATTTCAGGAGCTGCATAGCATATTTCGATTTCATAGTGCTAAGTGTGAAAGTAGATTGCGCCTTTGACTTTGAAGACGTTCTTGGAATTGTCTGCGTAATCTTAGTTTCCTTGAAACAAATTTTCATCATATAAAATATTCCCGCCGTAGATTTTGGGCAGCTCATTAAAGGGTAACCTGCCCTCCAGCACTTGAAAGCAGATTTGCATGGACAAAAACCATACATAACATCCAAAATCATCGTCGAACTCGATAAAGTTGCTGTTATATAATCAGCCACCTGATCCGTCAAGTTCTTATCGTAACCATCACCTTCGCAGAGCCCTTCTAATTGATCGTCTCGAATAGAAGAGACACTAGAGAAAGTAAACCAAGACGAAGTATAGTCATAGCAGCTCACAAACGAAGATGAACTCAACAAATCCTCTATCTCTTCAATATCCTTCATATCCGCTCCATTTAGCAGAGCATCTAGCATGGAGACAGTTGGAGGAAAGGTTATGTACCAAAGCATTTGTCGCATTCGTGCCATAGTGTCGCCTGGATATCCATTTTCTACCTTCGGGTTAAACTCTGCAAGTAAAGTTTAAGAGGAGCAATACTTTCACTAACACGAATTTCTTGTGAGTTCAATTGATTTGATACTGTAGCACAATATATGCCACGTTAGTGCAGCCAACACTTCCAACTATCCAGTGAGGTGTACAGCCATAATGATTGTCAAGATGTGTTGTATTTTCAAGTACTCAATCGGGAGTTAAGGACAATTCGCATTATTCGTAACGCTTTCCACATACGACCACCTTCCGCGACCAGGGCTCAGCCGTGGTGGCTTTCCGAAAACGCAAAAAACGGCGCTCCCCTTGATTTTCGCAAATTTTTACAGTTTCCTTTGACCGTAA